CACACGCGCGCACACACACACGCACACACATTCGCAAGCACACAAAAACATTGCCTCACCGAGCAAGGACGACGTCTGCTTGTGGGAGACACTTGATGTCTACCACACCATCGTGATGCGCAAGTATGGTGCACAGCTCGTGCAGACCCATGGGATACGCGACAATGCGCACGTCAAGTCCCTGCTGTCGGAGTTGTGCCCACCACGTCAGCGCTGCTGTCCTTGGGTCTGCTCGTGGGATTGTTGCTGCTCACACCGCCGAGAGGCATCTGCTGCCGTGCTTGCTGTAGGCACCTCAACCCCCTTGCCTTGCAACCAACCGTGTTGATCCGTGTGTGGATGTAGTGTGTATGTGGATGTATGTGGGTGCACGAAAATGCGTGATAGACAGGGAGACAGGGGTGTGTGTGTGTACGAGAGTGTGTGGAGTGTGTGTGTATGAGTGTATGTGTTTGTGAGTGCGAGTGATAGAGAGTGTGTGAGACAGGCAGACAGAGCGAGAGAGTATGTGTTTGTGAGTGAGTGGACGCGCGTGCTTCCTTCTCCTTGCTTGCATGCAAGCACGTACAAACACAGGACGTGGGCGCATGCGCATGCACCAAGGTAAGGCACTCACACGGTGGCTGCATTCATCTCATGGAACACAGCGACGGCTGTGAAAGCACGTAACACACCATCCTTGCTCTTGAACATGGTTCCCGGTTTCAAGTCCGCATATGCCTGCTGGAGCATCTGCGAGATGCGCCGCTGGGTTGCTTGGTGTGCCGCCTCTGCAGTTCGCTGCATCGTCATGAGAACAAAGATCACTGCCCTGCAGAAGAGAGCATGCAAACGCACGCAGTTAGTATGGGCAGAGATTCCAATGTTGGCAGTGCGGAGGAGGTGAGGCACGAGGACAGTGGCAGAGACAGGTGTGCGTGCACAGGGGCAGAGAGAGAGAGTGTGTGTGTGTGACAGAGAGTGAGTGTGTGTGAGTGAGTGAGAGACAGAGAGTGAGTGAGAGAGCGAGTGAGAGTGAGAGTGAGTGTGAGAGAGTGTGTGGGAGTGAAGGAGAGTGAGTGTGAGAGAGCGGAGGAGAGTGAGAGAGTGAGTGACACACACACACACGCACAGACACACACACACACACACACACACACTCACACACCAACAGCACTGACCTGCTGGCTCAACTCAAAAGTGTGCAGTTTGATGATGTTCAAAGTGGGTGTGGGGGTCAAGGGGATGAGCTCGAATGTGAGTGCGTTTAGTCAAACGGTGGTGGGCGGGAACCTTTTTCAACTGGTCCACAAAAACCATTTCATTGTTGACGAAAGTTAGAGGCGAAAGAAGTGTTTCCGTTTGTGGGTGTGTTTTTTTTTGTGTTAGATGCCTATTTGGACGTGTGGGTGTGGCACTTTGTGGGCGACTTTCCAGTTGTGGCAACTGACACCCACGCCCCCGCAACTCACTCAGTAACTTAGCACTCACATCAACAGAACAACACACGCAAAGCACCACACACACACACACACACTCTCTCTCACTTGTTCATTTTCCCATCGACGCGACAGGAGCTCAGGAGAAGGAGAAGAGGGAGAAGGAGAAGAGGGAGGAGTAGGAGGTGCTTGTGTGCTTGTTGTCATGTCACAGGATATCTCCTTCTCAAACTCACAATCAACTGTCCCCCCCCCTTGTGTTGGCCCCTGTCTCTCTTTTCTCTTGCAGGTCCAGCGATCAATCCTCCTTACATGTGCTCTAGTGCTCTTGTTTACTGAGTTTCTAG